GTGAATGGAAAATTCATGTATCATCGTCTTACTGACGAACTACTTGTACGTCAAACTAAGAATTCCATTTTCTTGTCGATAGACGATCGTCAACAACAAAATCGTCCGGTATCCGAACGTAAACAACATCAAAAGAAGAAAGCAAAACGTTCACATATTCTAAATAATAAAGTTGTTTTGATAAATTCCGATAAAACACCACCAAGTATTGTTTCATCGATTAATATCGATATGCCTATGGATGATGATGATTTAAATCAATATAAACATGTCTATAATGTTTTTATCAGCTTAGATATGCATTTATATAATAAACAAACATATCGTGGTGATTTAGAAATGCTTGGTTATAATTTAATTGTATGGATAGGAGGTAAATATATTCTTCACAAGCATTTTATACAATATAAAAAGTGTTATGCTTTATTTGTTTTAGGTTGTTTACCATGGAATAAAAAATTGAAATCAAAATTGACTCAGTCAACAATAACAAATGAAAAACGTTTGGCTAAGTCAAATATTAATGAATTTGTTAAAAAATGTTTTTATATGAAATTAGTAAATCCGGTTGTTTTGCGAGCAATATGTGATTATATGACGATGATTTATCAATTAAATATTGATGATTTGCCAAATTATGATCAATTACGTGCACCAGTTCGAGAAATAATTAAAGCGCTCGGTTTTAAAGTGTGTACATATTATATTTTCTCATTTTCTAATTATAAATAACATTCTCTTTGTAGGCAAATGCTTGTTTGCGCTTATCAAATTCGAAAGCTAAATCGAACACCGCTAATAACACTACAACAGGTCAATCAGGTAATTCAAATATAAAAAATGTTCGAGAACTAAAACCTTCACATTCTATCGAAGAAGAACAGGAAGATGTCGATGATGATACAAGTGAAAATGATGAAGACAATGTAGAGAACGATGATGATGATGATGACGATGATGATGATAATGATGATGAGAATAGTTGTGATGAAACTGAAAAAGAACAACAACAAAAGGATGAACAACAACATAACAATGATGATATTGAGTTGTCTACAAAATGTAAACGTTGTGGTGGTGATCATAGTACACCGTCTGATCAACAATCGAGCAGTAGTGGTGAAAAACAAGGCTCATTATTAACATATCAACAAAAACGTCAGCGATCGATTGCTAAACGATTGCAATTACGACGAAAAAAGAAATAACTAAGTACTGAGTGTTATGAAAAATTCTACTATGTGTAAATCGGTGAAAAGAGAAACGCATTGTAGAAACGCAAGTAATATTAGAAACTGTGCGTAAATTTAGTTGAATTTTTTTCAATTAGTAGAATATCAGAGTAATATCTGTAACATATTTCTCTATCGATTGTTTGATGTATTCTTATCAACCAAAAAACTGGTCAAGAATGTGTAAACATATTTTCTATTTGATCAGAATATGCTAAAAAAATTTTCGAAATACGTGAATTATTATTAATTACAAAGGATTAAAAGAATAAAGTTTAACACAACGATTTTTATGAATGTTGACTCTCATCAATCACCATTGTCTCTCACTAAAAACACATTCTGAGAATTTCTTAACATATTCTAAAAGAGTAAATATTTTTACACATCTCTGATCATGTTTAAATTGATGTTTTTTCTGACACAATAATGCAATTAAATTTTTTAAACAATACAAAAAGGACACCATACTTTATAACTTGCTTTTCTCATCCATAAAAACATATTTTACAATTTTCAACATGATATTTGTGACCAACATGGTCAAATGTGTCAAACAAGAGTAGTTTTTTGTGAAAAATTTGAAATTTTATATTCAAAACTTTTAAAGAATATCACAGACATAAAAAAGTTGTTAGTGAAATATGTTCTAGACATTACTCTACCCATGTTTCTGATCGATAAAAATTCAACTCTGTCTGCTGAAAGTTACTAAAGTTATACAGACGTCTCCTTTGAGTTTATATTCATTTTTTTCACCTATGGTGCTTTCACTAAATATGCTCAAATATAAATATGCGAAAAAATAGTTTTTCTCTTAATCTAAGGATGTATACCCATATATGTTGTAAATAATACATTTTTTCATTTGTTTCTTGGTGAGTTTAAATCAACATGCTAAAACAGCCTTCGAATATGAAAGTAAAGCTTAATAATTTATTTAAAAAAACAAACATTTTTTTATTTTTATTTTTATTTTTTATGCATTGAACAGTCGAAAAACAGTGAATTGAGTTATCTATCTCACAAAAAAGAGAAGAATTCCAAATGAAAAAAAAAACACTTTATTTTTACTTCTTGTTATTTTGTTATTGTTCTTCTCTTTTTTTTTTTAATCTATATTATGGCTTTTTTGTTCGTGTTGTTTGTCCGATATTTTTGTGATAGAATTTTTCGCGTTTTCTCTCGTTTTTTTGTGTGGTTTGTGTTGATGAAAATAAGTTTGTTCTGATCTAGTAAACGTATATATATATAGTAAGAAAACAAATAAAACTGCAACAGTGTTTACATTAAGAAACGTTGTAAAGATAATAAATAATATAAATTAGACCATTAACAGCTTGACTCAATACATTTATTTATATATATATATATATAGAGAGAGAGAGAGAGAGAGAGAGAGAGAGAGATCTACAGTTTTCCCCTCAGGTTATGTAAAACATTAGTTAGTCAACAAACGTTAAAGAAAACTCGGTAACAGAGCTTTTATGATTGCTTTGAGAACGATACATTATTTTCTAAAGTTTCTTTTCGAACGTCTTTCAATAAGTAATATTGTTTGAACACATTTCCTCGAAATGTGCTATGTTCATACTACAGATCAGCACGGTCTGGGCTAGAAAATTTAATAGTGATCAGATCGGACTTGGGCCGCAAAGTATTTTGGTCGGGTCGGACCGGGCCGAACTCAATATTTTTAAGCATGCGTGGATTTGTAATTTATGTGTATACTCAGTACCGAGAAAGAGTATTATCACTGGTCTGCGACATCTTAATGACTTCATTTAGCTATTGCCTTTAAAGGTTGAAAAATGAAAACCAAGAAATCATAAAGATATAAATATTAGCTTGAGAAATACATTTACACCAGCTAACCAGCAAAAGCATTACAGATGCAAGAAAAAATCACGCCTGGGACCGGAAAATTTTAATTGGTGGTCGGGTCGGGGGAGATAATTTCCACGTTTGGTCGGGCGGAACCATGCTTGGTCTGGAAACTTTCAACATCGGGCCGGGTCAGAAAGCTTCGGCCCGTGCGGATCTCTGGTTGATACGTTCTAAAACGTTTAGTATAAGTTTATGACAATAAAAAACAATGAATCATCGTTAAAAATTTTGTTTTTCTCTTGCTTGCGCTGTAGTGAGTCATCTTCAACTTAACAGAAAATGCATTACAGACTGCAGCTATCACGTACTTCAACCCACCGTGGACGTCAAGATGATCAAAACTTTGTTTGAAATGGAGTACAGTTTCTCTGCCTAGCTGGTCTCTGCACTGATGTGACAAGTTAGGAACTGAGTGTTTTTGAGTCAATTCGATTTTCTGCTTAATATTTTTCATTCTTTCTAAAAGATTTTTGATCCTACATTATCATTGAATATATATCAAAGAAAATAAAATTCATTATTGAAACATACTTGAGTTTTCAATGACAATATGATACAAAGAACGATACCGAAATTGTCATACAAGGGGGGTATCAGATATAGTAATACAGATGAAATCGCACCATTGAGACCTAGTACTTATGATGTCGATATTTAACTTCTATTTTTCTTTTCCAACGTTTTCTTTGTAATATATTGTTAAATTATGTTCTGATTTTGATGAAAATACAAATAATTAGTGTAGTACTTTCTTAGATATTCGTTTCGGCAAGCACTTCTCAGTAATTCTCGGTTTTCCATGCCTTTCTCATAGATTAATTATAATCATCTTTGCATATATAACAGAGATATTTGGAAATGGTCATGCGAGCATATTGTTAGTTTAGAGATTCCAACACGAAAAAGTAGCCTCTACCGACCAACGTATGTAATCTATATTCTGATCACCAACTAAAAATCTACATCAGTCTTGTTTTAATATAGTGATCTTAGATTTTTGAATACCTGTACGGATGACTTTAGAACTTTTGAGTTCATTCTCTACTGTATTGCTGGGTTTTTTTATGAATAAAAATGAAGAGACACTACAAAGTCAAATTATTCAAAGTCAAATACATGAGTCCCAAGTCAACTAGACGGTTCTATAGAAAAAAAGTGAATTGATAAATAACGAACAATCATAAGATGCAAAACAAAATAAGTCAATACTAATATTGAAAAAGGCAGATGTAATATGAATGTTGGTTGCACTTTATAAAGATGTCGTATCATATATTAAAAAGTTTACAAATAACGCATATATTAAATGAATTATGGTGTGACACAGATGAGACTGTTTTATATGTAGTGGCAATTATAATGGTCAACAAATGCCAATTTCACAGTCGGCAATATGGCCATTTAAATGAAGTAATTCTCAATGAACCGATGAAAGGATTATGATAAGAAATCGTAGTGAAACTTTCGTTCACGTATATCATTCATAGATAGCGTCTAAATATGACAATCAATGGCATACTCTACATGACTTTTTTTTTCAACTAAGTATATAGTGCATTGATCTCAATTATGTTCAAAACAACAATAATCAGCTTGATAATCAAGTTAAAACATTGGAAAATGAAAATTTATCGAAGATCAGTAGTTTACTTAAAAATGCACCACAAAAGTCGTTCGTTTTCGTTATGGCTACGAGGAATATTTCAATTAAAAAGCCTGTTTACGGCATAATCTTATATTTAAATCTAATTTGAAACTCTTATTGTCATAATTTTTGTAGAATAAAATCTAAACCAATGTAACTTTTAAACTTCTTCCATCTGCCGTTATACTGCATTCTTTCTGCTATAATCAGAGTTTGATAAACTAACTTACCTTTAATGTTCAACAGTTTGCTCTAATTAAACGTTGTCGCCTTCAAACAAATATTATGAACAAATGAATTGAGTAATAAAGACTATTTCTTGTGCTCTCACAAAATTAAATGGAATTACAAATCCTTGTAGATCATCTGACGTTGTAAACGAGGGTTCTTTCCTCAACAATTAAAAAAGATGCTGTAAATAGTAATACAAGAATGTTCGTGTTTAATGAGCGTTTTTATTTCTACTAAAATCTTCTTTAGCCCGATTTTTTTCTCTCTCATATACTTCGAATCAAAATGTTCTAACAACGGAACTGATGTCTTTGAATGATATGTGCAGTGCTAGCAATAGTATACACACACAGATGTCAAGTTTGTTTGAAAAAAGCTAGTCAAGAAGAATACCTGACACTGTTCGTCCATCTCTCCTAAGGGAGGAGTAACAGAAAGTGCAAAAACAACCGTTTGATCCCTCAAACCTCTTTTCAACTTAAAACGTTTTTCCTTCAAACAAAAGAAAATCTTAAAAGTTTTCACAAAAATGAAGTGATATTTATCCTAATTATTTATTGGAAAAACAAAGTCTAATTTCATCGATTATAGCATTACATGTACATTTGCGAAAAAAGTTATTATTAAACAATTAGAAAGAAAAGTTGTTCTGCTGCTTTGTCCAAAAAAAAAGACAAAAATAACAGCATCTAAAAACAAAAACTTAAAAGTAATTTGTTCAAAAAAAAGAGAAGTGGACAAGTGTTTAAAATTGCATAGAAAAACAACTAAACTCTTATAAATAATTACAAAAAAAGATTATAAATAAGTATAAATATTTTTGAACAACTGGTGATAAAAAGAGTACGGAATACTTATATTGTGATAAAAAAAAAACATCTTCTAAATAAATATCTGTTTCTGGCACACGTTAGCATCCTTTTGTCATGAAAGCTAACATGAATAAAAAGCGAAAGAAGTAAACAACAAAACATAGGCCCTTTATTTGCAGATTGAGCTAAGTATGTGGCTATTGTAGATGTTATATAATTCAAAAATGATAAGAAAGCACACATTAAAAATATGAATATCACATAATATTAGCAGTTATATTACTGTTCGCAAAATAAAAAAGACACACAGTTTATCACTTTTTTAAGCTCCATGCATTTATCACTGTTTACAGTGTTCGTTTATTTTTGCGCAGAAAATAAATAAGGTTAAAAAGAGACAGATAGATCGATATATACAAAAAAAAAAACTATTGAAAGACTTATTCGAAGAAAAAAAAAAATTTAAGCAAAAAACTGTCATATGAAAGCCTATGTAGAAACGCACTTTTAACAAAATTTGATCATGAATATCCTCAAAAGATAATGATCTCTTTTAATAGAAAAAGAAATCAAAATTTTAAAAAATTATAAAATTTAACAATAGTTACTAAAAATAAAATAAAAACTATACAAACAAAAAATGTACAACGTGTCAGAAATTTAAAAGACAAGAAAAATGTCTTTATTTTGTCTATAGTAATTGATGGATAAATCATCAATTATTCAAAATCTGTTTCATTGTCTGGTCGACAGTATTTATTTCGTTGGTTAATATGCTGTGAATACGAACCTATAAAACCAGTATGAAGGATTTACAATTTTCTATTATGCAAAAAGAGTTCTAATTAAAACATGAACTCATAAGTCAAAAGTTTATAATTGGGCAGATATATAATGATATAAAAAAGTTATATACTGCTTAAATTCGTATTTCAAAACGTTTTTTCTGTCAGACTAGAGGTATAAGCATATTTCCACAAACCTGAATGACTGAATCTTTTTCCACATTTGTCACAATTATAGGGTTTTTCTCCTGTATGTAATCGTACATGCTCTTTCAAATGATGTTTATGTTTGAATTTTTTTGCACAAGTTTTACATTGATAGCGTCGTTTTTCATCATCTTTGTCTAAATGACCACAAGGTGTTTGTGATGGTGTAACACTCGGGCTAACAGCATTTAACGTCATATGATCACATCGACGACCGGTAATACTGGTGAGTGATATACGACGACTATTTCTAGCTCTACTATTTATTAAAGGTAGCGAATTTGAGGACATTGATGACACATCTGGATCGTCAGATTCAGGATCAATTTCGCCCGGTAGAATCGGTATAGATTCACTGTCCGAACCCCCTACAGAAAAGAAAGACGCAAAGATAAAGGACTATTTAAGACGAACATTTGGATCATCAATAATCTCAATTTTATTCCATAATTCTAATTTAAGTTTAGATCTATTTCTATGTTTATATTTTTATAATAAAAAAGACTTTCGATGGAAACACGAAAAAAAAACAAACCTGTAGACATAGAAGAAAACAAGAGACATGCTTTAACAAGCAATTTGTTATTAAATCTCTTTCATTCGAAACACATAATCTTAGATTCAGTAACGAAAAAAAAAATGAGATTTGACAGAACAAAAAAAAAAATAGCAACAAATTTTATCAAACTTAGGAAAAAAAAAGATCATTCACTCAGAGAGACAAATATGCACAATTGTACGGCAAGAGACGAAAGAAATAAAGTCTAGTTTTCGTGGTTCATCAAAATGTTATTTTTTATGGAATGAAAGTTTTGATAATTTTAAATTGGCAATAATGTACACGTTCTGTGTAGATATGTTGAACACGAGAAACTGACTTAACATTCTCAAACTTTTGTTAGACATAATCAAATAATGAAACGAAATGAGGAAAGAATACAGAATCTGAAATATCTGTTATACAATGAAATTAAAAAAATCAGAATAAGATTTGTCACAGCAGCAAGTTTCAAAAGAAAATGAAAAATTGCATGTGAACATGTATGTGTGTATATATATATATATATAGATATACATATATATATGTATGTGTATGTAGTTAGTATAACATCTTGTCACCATTTTCACCGGTCACCATTTTCTCACTTGTGCCTGAAATTGGAGAAAGATACTTGACGGTAAAAAATGAAATGTATATAAATGATTTTTTCTATGCTGCGAGTGTATACATAAGCATTTTTCAAAATAAATGTTCTTATATGATTTGGATTTTTGGAAAATGGCAAGCAAAAAAAATTCGAGACAAAAAAATCTTTCTATGGTCACATGCAGCTCAGTATAGAGTAATATAGATCACATGCAAAAGACAATATTTACGAAACAATATCAATGTACGACACAACAAAAACACAAAATGCGCTTTCTCCAATTTCAGGCCAGTGTATATAATATATATCTGTGCGTGCTGGTGTCTGCTGGATAGAAAAGATGAAAATAAAAAATGAAAAAAACAACACCATCAATTAACAAAAAAAAAAATGAGATTTTCTCTGAACAAACAAATAAAAAAAGGAATTTCAAGATGAGATATACACGAGAGACTATTTCTTATCGTATTTAAAGATAGAATGAATAGCAGTTATTAAAAAATCTAACTATTTTACCGCCGCCGTGAGCTATCAATTAAAGCGTTAAAGCGATTTTACTCGGCATAGGCTATCTTTCACATAATACAAACATCCACAAATAATGATGATAGAGATATCTAACTGAAAGAGGATACATATTACTGAATGTTCATTCTAACAATGCTATATGATTTTTAATATTGTACTATTGATTCATTTAAAAGATTTTCTAGTAACAAAAAAGCTCAAGACGATTTTAAATACAACAATCTTTCTCAATCTAATATTTAACATCTAAGTTAATCTACAGCAAATTTAGCTTTGTTCTATAGCAATAGCAATCTATACTGATATACAAAGTTCCAACAGAATCGTGTGTGTATAAGGATAAAAGAAAAAAACAAATTTGTTTATTCTACAAAAACTAAATATAATGGAAAGAATATCATTTTGTGGGTGTTTATGAATGTATATGTGTGTCAGTGTAGGTATATATTTTTATTCACTGGCCAAGAAATTGATGAGAGAAAAAGAGCGCACGTTTTGCTTGAAATAAATTTCATTTCTTGTATGTTTTATCGAAGCAACAACATCAGATAGAAGGGACGATTAAAGAATAGCGTTACAAAAGCAACTTCAATAGCAGCAATCTAACTAGCCATGCATAGGTGCAAAATGTATATAGAATAGATGTTTTTAAATATCAGTACCTTGTTGATTGTTATCGTGCATTGAATTTGACATTTTTGGCGACGTCATTTGTACTGGAGAAGCAGCTAGAAGAAAGACATCAATTAGCGTCACCAGTCGTACAAAAACAATAATTGAAACTTACGATCACTTGGTTGAGAGTCAGTTGATTCTTCACTTTGATTATTCTCATTTTGTATACTCAATTGGCCAACACTTTGAGTGCCATTTGGTTGCTGTGAAGAACTGGGTAGTGGACTTGTTGGTTGTTTTCCATTCGATGTATTCGATTGTGTTGATAAATAGGGGGATGATGAAGGAACAGGTGGTGCGGTTGTTGTGCCTGTCGTATATAGTGACGATGCACTGGAAACAGGTATAGGTGGAGGTAGACCAGCCGGCTGAATCATATTTCCCATTGGAAGTTGTGGAGAACGAATAAACTGTGGATGTTGTGCTTGTTGCTGCGGATGAAGTAGAGTGGTAGGATTACGATTATCAGATGGAAATAATTGATTCGCTGTAGTTTGTCGTTGTTTTAATTCAGATGTTTTTATTTGTTCTAATTGAAATTGCTGCCGGTCCTGAAGTAGTTGTTGACGTTGAATTTCAAGCTAAATAAACGAAAAGTTATATATATTCCGAAGATTAAGATATTAGAAAAGAGGCCTTTCAAGTCGATTAAGAACCCTGAAGACAAACAATAAAGCAATATCAGCTTAATTAAATCTCGATAACAGACTTCAATAGTATGGCACTAGTGAACAGTTAAAACGGAAGAACAAATAATATCTTGACGCTACCATTTCACGTTCACGATCCATAATCGTTTCTAATTCTTCAAAATGACGTAATTTAATTTCAAGTTTTTTGATTTGCATTTCTACAACCTGAGCAACAGCACTTTTTATTTTTCGTTCTTCAATTGACGCCAAATACTAAAATAATATACAAAATACTTCAATAATTATAATGACGTAATAAAACGTTCTAGCTTCTCAACAAAAATAAGTCAAGTAGAGAATTAACAAGTGTTTCACTAGGAGAGATGACAATTAACAAAAAACTATGTTAGTTTTCTCCACTTTGCTAATCAAACAAGACTTTAATTTTACGTTTGTATGTGAAACACGGATAAATTTGTCAATAAATGTTAATTAAATATCAGTTAAACGTGTCAATGCTTACCTTCGCTTTCACTGCTGCTGCTGCCAGTGCCGCAGCAGCTGCTGATTTAATTTCTTTTTCATTAATTTCAGCTACGAGTAATTTTCGTGGATCTTGATCTCTTGTCGTTTTAGATCCATCATCATTATCAACATTTGTTTCTGATGAAACTACGGTTGAAGACGTGGCTTGATTATTATTTGAAGCTGTGGTTGTTGTTGTCGATTCACTTGGTTTGTCGCTTGTTTCCGTTTTTTTTATTTCGTCATCATCTATTACCATCTACAACGATAAACTGGCTGCATGAAATGAGTTAGTCTAATAAAGAAAAGAAACCGTACCTGATTCTTATTTACTTCTTGCGATTCATCTTCAACATCCATTTTTTCTTCTTTAACTTTAGATTTTTTTGCTCCTTCAGTATCGATAGAGTTATCCATATCTTTGTTTTTGACATGTTCACCATCTTATAAACAAAAAGTGCTTGAGTAAAAAATACAAAGGATCTATCATTAATCATTATACCATTATTTGTCAAGCCAAGTAATTCGAGACTAGAATTTTCATCAACTTTTTTTCCTTTACGTATCATGTTTTCCAATGTTGTTTGATTTGTTTCAATAAACGATGGGGAAACTTCATCTCGCATTTTACAAAATTCTTCTAGAGCAGCTTTTGCTGCAGCACTTGCTACACGTGGATCGACAACACTAGCTAAAAATGCAACCGTGGACATTATTGGATTACCACTTTGACTAAATGGTATTGGTTGATAAACAAGTGGACCTAAAAATCAATCAATTTTAACTCAGAACAATCAATTGTAATGTATTGTTGTAATTACCCAATGATCCATTTCCTTCCAAATAAGGATCTTCAATTGGTAATTGTAAAAATTTCAGAATACATTCATCTTGGGTACGACTACCAACATGTTCACACACTTTATTCCAATCGTCTTTATACATTTCCAAACCTAAAAATATAGATGAATTTAGAGTTATCTATTGCCCTTATTATGCAATTGTCTACCTTCTAATAACAATAAAATTTCTTGATCTGTCCAATCTTTTGCTTTTGTTTTTGGATTCTAAAAATTACGTTTATGTTATTTTAAAATCAGAAAATGAAAACGGAGATGTCTCTCCTTATTTACCACTGATAGTTTTTTATTATATTGATCAATTCTCAAACCCAGTGCACTTTCAACATCACGTTCTTCACGTTTAGCTTCTTTAAAATCTGCAATCTGTTTGGAACATGAATTCTAGAATAACAAAATGCGCTAGTCAAAGAGATACACATAATTGAAAATAACTGTACTTCTCTTTGTGGTGGTTTGGGATGACCAACAGGTGCTAAACCACATGGTGTATCACCTAATATTGTAAAATGTGACGTGCATGGTGGACCCATTGTAGATGGTCGTAAATCAGCATCAACTTGGTAATTGATTAAACCCCATTGTTCGAGAAAAGCATGTACTCTAACAAAAACAGTCACATAATATACATAATTATACTTTATTTATTAATCGTACCTCATTATTGCACAAACGTCTCCAGCTAAATTTCGTCGACACGCTGTTACAGTTAGATATTCATTTGGATTTAAACGATAAGTATCAATCATAAAATTTCGATACGCCATATAACTACAAACAAACAGATCACAGATGTAACTTATTTTAAAATTATATAATTCATATACATTTCCGGTGTTTTAGAACGATTTGTGGCATTGAAAAATTCTAATAAAGCACGTTTTTCTACAGCATTAATTGCATTGTAATCAAACCAAGCAGAATAACTTGGTATTATTATGTGATGAGTTTGTTCACATGCTTCAGGGTCAGTTTGTTTTTGAAATGATGATCCATCATGCTGTTGATCATCAATTGCCTGAAAGAAGAAATACAAGTGAACGTTATTCGGAAGATAATTTCTTCTTTTTTCACCATATTTTCGTCTGCTTCTTCATTCAAATCGGTAAGAGTTGTATTTTTTGGTAGTTGAATATCTTCTCTTTTCTGGCTGAGTAATGCTAAAACATAAAATTCAACATTAAGAAGCAGATAAAAACGTTCGACAATATGCCTACATATTTTTGATAATGTTTGATCGTCAAAATTTGACTGTGAGAGTGAATTTTCGCCATCTTTAGATAAATCTGTATCATCCATATCTATACCACCTGGTTTTATTCTTTTTGCAGGCCTACGAAAAAAGTGTAATTAATAATTATAATCAGAAATATTTCTGAAATTTACTTTCGTGGCTTAGTTAATCCTTGGGTTGATCGTTTTTTCGTCGTGGATGCAGCATTTGTTGTTGTAGAAGCTAGTGCCGACGCTGAATTTGAGGTATTTACTGACATATTTGGCTTATCTTTTCGATCAGGTACTAGCTAAAATAAGAAATGAAGATTATATAAGAATGTTCTTAAATTGTACCGTTATTTTCTGCAAGAACATTTGAATCTTCATTATCTCCTGTACGCTGATTGAAACTATTTGATAAAAGCGCTTTCACTGTTTATTGTCTTAAGAAAGTCTAATGTTTGAAGTTTTTTCATATCCTTTATAGTTACCATTTTGCAGCACTTGAACGAGAGATTATTCTGTGTAATGTATATGGAAACTTGGCAGTTTTATTACATGCTAACGATTCTCTACACTCATTAATACAGCTGTATATCGTACGTAAGAAAAAGAAAAGATGAAAATGTTCAACATCGAAAGCTTTAACATTTTTTTCTTTCAATTCTGTCAACGCGACGTACGTGGTATATTTCAGACATAGAGAAAAATGGAATACGGAAATTCTTCTCGTTTTACAGTCGATTCTTAACAGAAAAGGAAGCAAAAAAACGACATTTTTTTTTTTCTTTTCTTCTTCTTCTTCTTCTATGCTCCTTCAAGCACGACAATCCTGCTAGTAAAAATAGTTTCTCGTACGCCAGTAAGGATAATGTAGAATGAACTCATAGAACGAAGGAAAAAAACCCTTTTTCTTTTATCAGACCACATCGATTATATGTTTATACATACATACGCTTTACTTAGATCTATACATCTTCGCTCTCTATAAATTTTATCTTGCGTACTTTTTTCTTTGTCATACAAGATGATAACAGATAAAATTGTGATACCTGAGCTAAGTGTCAAAGGAGGGAAATAATTAAGTGTCAAAATATGACATATAAAATCAGAAAATGAAAAGAACTCTATTCTTAAACAATTCAAAAACCCAGAAAGCCTGTCATATTTGAAAGAATACAAATAAATCTGAACAGAATAATAAAATAAAATTAGATTTTGTTCGTCCAAAGTAAATTACTATGTAACTAGAGATGAGTTTACAAAAAATCCTTTAGACTTGGCACTTCATGTAACATCATTGATGTGACATGAATGTTACATCAACTACATCACGCAAAAATATAGTTCGTTCATTTGACTTTTGAAGTAGTTTACCCATTTGTTGGCTAACTTCAAATACGTAGTTCATTCACTCTTCGTAATATCTTTTTCATCAATTATTACTAAAAAATCTCCTTAGATCAAGTCGTCAAATATATAATTCGCATTTGATACGCAAAGCTCTCTGCACAAATAATTCTGATTTGCCATGATAAAATTTTAAACTTACCTCATTCAATGTCTTCCGTTCTTTACCACAATTTTTCAGTTTGATTCGCCCTTCTCGTGCCTATATAAATAATGTATGTGCACACACACTAGGTCTTCAAACATTCGAAAAAAGATTCGGTATTACCATTTCTTCATCAATTTCGTAATCTTCTTCAGTCATCCACTCATTGAATTCTGCTGTGTCTAGTACCCAATTAGCCGTTACATGCCATATTCCCTGAAATGTTTCATCTCGTTTTTCTGACTCTTCAGCATCCAAATTTGGCACCCATATATCGTATGAATCTGGATAAAACCAGTAATGTAAGCGACAATCCCGCCCACGTTTTTCAACAACACGTACATATTCACCTAAAAAAGATACAAGTCAAAAAAAAAGAACAAAATATGAAAAGAAACGAACTCTCTCTTTCGTTATCGATATCACGTTTATCATCGAGCGTGTGATAAACAATGTGATCAGCATCATCTTCATTGGATGCTACTTTTCCATGATGTTTTTCGATCATTTGTTTTAGTTGGATTTGTAACTTTTTATCAATATCTGGACGTAAATAACAAATGGGTAAGGTCAGTACATTTTTATCAATTAATAATTTTTGTACATGTTGAAATAACTTTATAATCTCATTACGTGGATGTGATGTTAAGTCAAGTTTTTTCCTATAAAAAACGAATAAAAAAACCTTAAATAGAACAGTGTGATTATCCTTTAATTAACATACCAGTTATGAGTAGATTTGTACATATAGCATCCAAGGATAATATGATATAAAGCTCCAGTTTCTCGAAAATCGAGAAAACATTCCATCTAAAACCAGAAAAATCGTAGTTTGAAGTAAAGACGATTAAAACTCATTTCTGATATACCGGAATTCTTGTTACTGGTGCATCATGCGTATTTCTTCCAAGATTTTCCTCTTGAAATTGCAATAATTGTAACGCAAAATGTGCCAAACTCTCCTTAGTTAATTGTTCATCACCAAAGTACTAGAAAATATAATCGAAAATTCAAAATACAATTTAATAAGCTCCACTTCCTTAAACAAACCTTTTTTATGTCTTTTTTCTGGAACCATTTACGGATAGTGTCAAACTGAGCCAAAGTATCTGGCGATTCAAAAAACTTCACGTTCGGACTACCATCTTTTTTTCGTATTGTTGTGGTCATCATTCCACTAGCCTCAGCAGTGCTATACAGAGGATAGTATATTCTAAAACGCCAAACGAATGAATACATCAGAGAACGTTTATTCACGAAGATATTATGTCTTCGTCTTAGTTTTATGTCAGAACCTCGCCCTGAACATGAGATGATCGCTAATCTTCGAAGTGCGATGACAATAGCAGGATAACAATGATAGTCTTTTTATCACTCCGCGAAAACTATATCTTTTTGAGTTTAGCGCAGCGTTTTCAATGAAGATTTCGAGCAACACGCAAATCTACAGTTTATCGCCACATTGTGCATCCAGAAGGCACAGTATATTTTGTTTCGACTCCGAGCACTCGTCATTGATAACAGTGGTATGGAAACGAAGGAGCAAATTGAGTATACACATTAGTTTCAGATCCGATAATACAAAAATCCGTTCTATGACCATAACGAATTATAGTAAATAAACAATCAAAACAATAAATAGTACTACGTATTTACTTATTTGTTTCATGGTGTAAAAGGATCTAAATTCATTTCTATTGCCTTGTTTTATGATCTGAAAACCGTTCTAACTCGCCTAATTTTTTTGATAGAAGAATCGTGAGTCCGTACAAAAGACAAAACAACCACATAAACAAATGAGAAGGCAGATAGAAAACGATCAGGATTGAACGGTGCAGCAATCAGATATTTGCATAATTTTTCTGTTTCTCATCACAGAAAAAATACCAAATGAAAAGAATTATGCCACTGGACAATTAAAGGATTTGCTAGAAGTGATCTTAAGTCCCGCATTTAGCCGTATAAATAGCGTACCATAACTAGATGAATGGGAGTCAATTTTTATTGGCTCTATTAGAACACCATAATTAATGTTATATCAACTCTGTCGTGGTAATCTTCACTGTTGACGTGCAACGCAAGCAATATCTTTTTCTCAAAGTGCAGCGCCACAGAGAAATCTCTATTTAGTTTAATTATAGCCAGATAATAGTAGAGCTGCAAGATAAGCAAACTGACTAAGAAATTTGATAGCGTCTGATAAAATGTCTGTATGATTGCGACTTAGTCTGAAGTGATAAAGAATATTAACAGAAGTTTCCTTACTGGAAGTGAGGGTCTCGAAAAAATGATGTCTTGTTGTCTATGGCTTTCTTCGTTATTTCCGTTGGTAGATGAATTTGCTAATGGAAAAACAGAGATAATGATGTCGTCCGTCTACAGATTAGGAACTAATTATGGATATACATGTACTAATGCGTGTTCTTCAACTAATGCTCAAGCGACTCAAAGGCAAGCGTTAGTACTTGAAACTATTTAAAACAACGGAAGAACTTTTATACGAGCGGTGGCTTGGCTTGGCACTGGTCCAAAGCTCAAATAAAACCAAGCATCCATAAATCTCTACTATCAACGTGAAATTTCGAAATTTTGCGGCGTTGTAGCGTTTATGGATAGAAATTTAGGTAAACCAGTCCAAACTGGAATTTTTGATGTAAAATCGGTTCGTTCGTTACAGAAACCGGCCAAAAAGCGGAAAATGACCCTAAGAACTAAAAAGGTGTCAATGCTATTTTCCTCATATTCATAGATAAAGTATTGAAACCACGGCAGATTCAAATCTGAATTAGCTTTTAAATCGAACGTATTTCTATTCAAAGAAAATTTTTTTTAACTACTGATTGTTAGCGCCTCATGCTATCCCTGTTTATAACTGCCCAAATATTTTAGCAAATAGCTACGTATGACAAAATCTGCGCAGAGGGTTCTAACAGCATCAGTAAAATCAATCTAATTACTGTCGTTTTATAAGAGTTAGTTGTGTAAGGGTTCTCTATCAAAGGACTTGACGTCATATTCCATATTTTGGAATTACCTGCTACTAGTAACCGAAAGTGACTTTTTGCGAATAGAGAGTGAGCTATGATTCTCTGTGTTATATCCTAATATGTTTGTTTTAGATGAGTGCTCTAATTTTTCGGGTATTTCAGCCTGTGCTGAAAGGTGTTCAGTATCAATCTCGTAATCAACTCAAATCGTTTAAAACAATCCAATGTTTCTCAAACGTTTGGTGTCGTCACAATCATGTAAATAGTTTGCTGTCATTGCTGTTGTTGTTATTTACGTATTTGGTTGCTGATTTATATATTGTAGATTTGCTTGTCAAGATTCCGAAAATCAATGTTATCCGCGAATAAAAGTTTCATTGGTATTATCAAAGTATGTTGAAGTTACTTAGTAGTAAGAAAAAAATGGGATCACTCGCCTTCCACCGCTAAACGGATATATATTTACGCTAGTAAACTGTTTTATCAAAACGGTCAGAAATTAATGGAAAAAAACTGAACTATTTCTTATTTTTAGCGTAAATGGCATCCTGGTCATTCTAGCGCATTCTCTCAAGATCTTGGCATTAAAGATAAACCGATAACCACGCGTTTCATACTACGTGCTATGTTTGATTTTATCTGGCCAAAAGCTGGGAAAAAAGTGAAAATTCGTGTATTGATCGCCTTCTCATTACTATTAGTGTCTAAAGTAAATGAAAGACAGATGTTTAACTAACAACAATCATTAATTTTTGCTATCTATTCATAGTTATTGAATATCAGTGTACCATTTATGTTCAAATATTTGGTCGACGAATTAAACAAAGGTCGTACATTAAAAGTTGATACAACCGAATCAGCAATAATATCAATGGTAACTGCATTGCTTATTGGCTGTAAGATTTTTTGACTGTTTTATTTATGAATGTATTGCTATTACTGACAATGGTTAATTTTTTCGAAGATGGCGCTGCTCGAGCTGGTTCAGCTCTATTCGGTGAACTACGAAATGCCATTTTCGCCAATGTTGCTCATCGCAGTATACGTGAATTAGCTAAAAAAGTGTTTACTCATATGCATAATTTAGACTTGAGTTTTCATCTTAGCAGACAAACTGGCGCATTGTCGAAAGCAATTGATCGTGGAACAAAGTAAGACAGTTCATTTCTCGACAACTGACTATTATTGCTTTTTTTCTTCTCTTGTAGAGGAATTAGTTTTATATTATCTGCACTTGTCTTCAATATTGTACCCACAATATTTGAAGTTGGCCTTGTTAGTGGGATACTTGTGAGCAATTTTCTGGTATTTGCGATGGCTTGATATCAGCAGTTGCTATTTTAGTGGTACAAATTTGGATTATCTTATGCTGGCATTTCCATTGGTTGCATTGCAGGTTATACTGCTTATACTCTGGCTGTAACTCAATGGAGGTGAGCACAGAATCTGAGATATCAAATTCCACAGACTGAGTACGTTTTTTCGTACCTGATAGAAATGCTGAAGAACTAAATTTATCAAGCGTGTAATATTACACTAATACTTTGGCACAACATGGTTCTTTATACTCAAATATACTCTACCTTGCTGTTCTCCATCTTTCTGGTTCGTTTTCTTTATGTAGGACGAAATTTCGTGCTGACATGAATAAAGCTGATAATGAAGCAGGCAACAAAGCGATTGATTCACTAATTAACTTTGAAACGGTGAAGGTAAACTGTTGAATGTTATCATTGATTCCAAACTTCATTGGTGCGTATAATCTTATCTCTTACAGTATTTCAATAATGAAGCACATGAATTAGAAAGATATGATAAAACATTATCACAATATGAAGTAGCATCAATTAAGACTCAAACCAGTTTAGCCATGTTAAACTTTGGACAAAATGCTATATTTAGTTTGGGTCTTACTGGTATTATGCTCTTAGCTGCGAGTGGGATCGCAGAAGGTAGAGACAAAACTTTTCCATTGTCGAACATTCTTAATCACTATTTTTATAGTCATCTCTAGGAAGTATGACTGTTGGTGATTTAGTTGCTGTGAATGGTCTCGTATTTCAGTTATCAATGCCATTAACTTTTTTGGGCTCCGTTTATCGTGAAGTTAAACAGTCTGTTACGGATATGGAAACCATGTTTCGATTAACGATGATAGAGGCTGCAGTGAAAGTATATCATTCTATCTACATTCTTGGACTTTCTACTAAGATTTTAGTATGTTTAGGACAAAGAAAAAGCTCCTAAACTTGACATTAGCCAAGCAGCATCGTCGATTATATTCGATAATGTTACATTTGGATACTTGAAAGAACAAAATATTTTAGATAAACTATCATTTGAGGTTCCATCGGGAAAGAAAGTGGCAATCGTGGGTGGTTCTGGATCCGGGTAAGCATATTAGAGTGTATTTTGATTAAAAGGGTTTCAATTTGTTCTAATTCAGAAAATCGACTATTGTTCGTTTATTATATCGTTTTTATGATCCTCAAGATGGTGAAATACGTGTGAATAATCAAAATATTCAACATGTATCTTTATCTAGTTTAAGAAAAGCCATTGGTGTTGTACCTCAAGTAGGTTATACTCATGTGTTTAATTTTCTTTTTTAGATATCCATTAGCTTTGTCTTATAGGATTCTGTTCTTTTTCACGATACGATACTATACAATATTAATTATGGTAATTTAAAAGCAACTAAAGAAGAAGTCTATGAAGCAGCTAAATTAGCTGAAGTTCATAACGCTATAATGAGAATGCCTAAACAATATGAAACAATGGTGGGTGAAAGAGGGTTAAAATTATCGGGTATGGGTTTTTATTTTGTTTTTTCCTGTCAGAATACTGAACATTTTCTCTGTATCTTAGGGGGTGAGAAACAACGAATTGCAATAGCACGAGCATTACTCAAAGATCCAATTATTTTAGTTTATGATGAAGCTACCGCCCATCTTGATACAGTAACTGAACAGGTTTGACTGAGATATTATCTTCTTTTACCATTATTATTTATCATGGTTTTATTTGTTTTAATAGGCTATCTTAAAATCATTACGTAAATTAACTAAAAATCGTACATCGATTGTTATTGCCCATCGTCTTAGCACCGTTATTGACTGTGATCATATTGTAATTTTGGAGAAAGGCAAAGTTCTTGAACAAGGTAGTCATGCTGAATTAATGGCTAATGATAAAGGCTATTATTCATCAATATGGAATAGTCAACGAAACGGTACAACGCAGAGTGATAAAAGCGATGATGCTAAACAAAAAATTGATAGTGATAAAGAAACGTTAAAAATATAATGTATGTTCATTCTTTTTTTCTATTAAATATTTTTATAGTTTTATGTGTGTGATAACAGGAGAACGAGAGAGAGAAAAAGACTATTGTGATCATTTATTTAAGATACAAGTTGAGAGTGTTTCACACGATATATACTATGTAAATTAGAGAAATCCTTTGACTGGACTTTTCAGTTATTCTATTTTTTCATAAAATTGAAACATGTTTGTAGTTTAATCGCGTTCAGATGAGCGACCTATTCATCCAACTTTTGAAGACATCTGCTTCTGTGATTTGGGGAAAAGAATGAATTCTTGCTGATTAGATTCTATCCATTTTCTTTATGTATTTGTAGAAGGCTTTTTCTGTTCTTAACTTTTGAAAAAACACAAGTTTTTTTGTATTTTTAGCAAAGAAATGAATTAAATTTATATATTGTTTCAATCTTTAAAAACATACGTTTGTGGTAATTAAAGAAACATATGTTTTTTTATTAGATTTTCAGTGAACGTGTAGCTAAACCTAAATTAGGTATTAATTGTTTTACATTTTCTTTGAGAAACGTTATATGTTACCATGACTGCTGAAGTTCATCCGTTGTTTTGTGGATGTAATCGTTCATGAGAACATGAAAATTTATGTACCATCAGTCCTACATCTTTGTTGTAATGAAAAGATATATAATATTGAATATGATAAATAAAAGATAGCTTGAATAAGCTTTATTGTTTGTTGTCTTGTTGGTTTTCTCTATTTTTTGATGACCTCTGACACGACTGATGATGATTGTCAATTGTCGGCTGAAACTCTGCATGCTTTGAAGGAATGGCAAGATGAACAAAAACTTATTCAGACTGACAATCATAACGCAAACTGGGTAATAATTGACAAAGATTGAATCATTTTATTTTGCTTGTTTATTTATGTATTTATTCAAGGGATTAAGTCAATTTTGGTATGACCAACAGACAACAAACAGATTAGTAGAGGAAATATTATCTGCATGTCCTAATGGAAAGTAAGTTAATATACCATTTTTTGCAGACTACTACCACACAGGCATGGGCGAGTCCGAGTCCAGACTGAAAGATTTTTTGGTGGACTCGGACTCGGACTTGAGTTTTTGTATTTCGAGTCCGATCTATTCAACTTTTGACACAAATGAAAAGCGAAATAACAATACCTTCTGTTTCACAAGAAGTTGAAAATTTTGTTCGGGAGACGGACATGCAAAGTAACCTTATTGCAAATTACCCTCATCAAAAAAGAGTCTAAAAGATTACCGGACTCGAAATGGACTCGGGCTCGGTCCTTAATGTTAAGGACTCGGACTCGCCCATGCCTGCTACCACATATAAAAACCTCTTGATAATTTGCTATTCTCTTCTTTGCCTTAATAACATAATTCCTACAAACTTTTTTTTCTAGGATAGCATTTATTTCTTGTCCAACAGCGTTCTATTACATGAAAAAAGAGCATTCTAACATGGACTTAACATTGTTTGAATATGATAATCGGTTTGGCGTCGATAATAGTCGTTTTGTGTTCTACGACTATAACGAACCATTAAACATTGATAAAGTTTATGAACATTTATTTGACTTTGTTTTGCTTGATCCGCCGTATTTGTCGGAAGAATGTTTGGAAAAAGTAGCTAAAACTGTTCAATTTATAAGTAAAACAGATGCGAAACATCTTATATGTACTGGTACGTAACAGAAAATGAAGCGTGTATTTTAAATATTTTTGAACTTTATCTTTTTTTTAGGAAAGGCTGTAGAAGAAGAGGTTAAAAAATATTATAATGGAGCAAAAATGCTTGTATATGAACCACAACATGTTCAAAAGCTTATGAATCCGTTTGCATGTTATGCTGATTACGAAACAAAAACATTGAATGTTGTATGATAAAAGTTTCATTTTTTAGGGAATACATTTCTTGTTTCTATACATTTTTTCCGTTGGTTATAAATGCATATTTTTTCACATGCAATAAAGAAAAAGTGTACTTGTTAAGAAAATAATGTCGAAAGGAAGAGATGCAGCAAGAATCTGAATCGGTCCATTTCAGAATCTGTGCAATAGTGCCTGGAATAAAGAAGCGTATGATTTTATGGTGTTTTATGCTTCTAGTTTTCGTTCTGAGCATATATTAGTGAAAGAATCGGTTAACATATTTTAAGACCTATAGAATTGAGTGTTTATGCCCATTTTAATGGAAATAAAATAATACGAGACAAAATTTAGATGCACTATTCAATGAAGTATTTCACAGCGAACAACACTGTAAACAGCGCATTTGTTTGAGCCTTTCTGGTAAAAAAATTGTATTGTGAATCTTTTCCCGATTTCATGTATTGAGCGCATCCTGTTCAGTTATATCTACTTTAGCAAACGAGAATCTCGGATACCACTTTGAATTTTGTCTAGTAAAAAGTTCTTTCAAAACTAAACAAACAGATTCAAATTACATCACTTTTCGCATGCGAAAAGCTCTTCTCCAAACAACAAGAGTATCAGAATATTTCATTTTTCCTATAATTCACGTTGGTTTTTATAAGGGTTTTGACAGAAGCCTTAATATATATACGATATACTGACGGTACATTTCTCCTGAAATATTTTTTTATTAGCAGCGTTTATCATTTAGCAGGTTTATCCATAACGAAGCATCAGAAAGGACTTATAAGATTAATATATTTTTAAGATTCAAGTTAGCATATCTAGTAATGAAGTGGCAGAGTCCAATTGTTGATGCATTTTCTTTTTCTTTTTTTGAAGAACAAAGTTATCTAGAAAACTATGGAATGCTTTGTTCCGTTTTTCGGATAAAATGCTCACCATTACTCGATGAATTAGGACATTAGAATCTAGTTTTTTTATGTCATTCCCATAGGTGAATGGGAGTAAAGCGGCCTGACAGAGAAGAAGAACATAATAAGTCATTGTTTTTCAAGCAATTTATTTTAGATTAAACCGGCATACGAATGAAAAAGCTCAACCAGATCGAATCAGTAAACAACTTACATATGAGAAGTAAAATGAGTATAAGTAGCGAAGTAACGCTACTACTAGGTTCGTGTGCTAGTAGCACACGAACCAGACGAATGAGCGTATGTTATACAAGCACATGATTAGAAACGTCTCTAGTGAGAAACTTAATCAACTCTTACTAAGATCTTAGAGTAATCTTATTAAGATTGTGAGATTCGAAAATTTAAAGATTTGATAAGATTTTTCTAAGGTCTTAGTAAGATCTTACTAAGATATAGATTATTGTGTCTAAGATTTTTTCAAGAGTGAGACTCTGTTAGGATCTTAATAGTGAGAACTATCATGTTTTTTAATAACATTCATTCATGATTCATTAAGAATTTTTGAACATCCAGTCGACACTATTTAAAGTATAAACTGAACAGATTTGAAGAAGAGAAATGTCATATATTTGAGTGTCCAACCATGGACCTTGACTTGTATTGTACACTCTCTGAAAATCAGTTGAACAGTTTTGAGAGAGGAAGTACGAGCAGAGTCTGCACGAAAGATATAGTAAAATTCAGTTTTGTTTACGTTGTTACTTGTATAGATGTATGAGAGAAAAACAAAAACGTCAATGAAATTAGAGTCATAAAATCTTATTACGATCTTAGAATATCTTATAAGATCTTACTAAGATAATTTTAGGAAGTGTCTAAGATTTTTACTAGAGATAGGTATCAATTCGCAGGAATCTAATGATTGTAGAATAGACAAAATGAAAATTGGATACTTTATTGAAGATCACGGAAGAATCTTGAAAAGGTGTTATGTTCTAGAGACAGGTTAATATCAACATTATTTCAGCATTGCAGTTATTCTCAATCAAATTTTTATCAAAAGGCTCATTAAACTGTGTGAGGACTACACTAGTCCTAAGAATAACAATTTCTTCGACAAGAAGATAGCCAGCGACAAAGTTTACCAGCTATTAGTATACTTTACTCTCGATTCGTCCCTAATTGCTCATTCTCGCTTTTGAAATCACCTATGATGTTGTTTGATCTTACAAAACCAATTAGAAACGAATGGATAGGACACCATATAAAGATATACCTGTAAAATATACAAAATAGATGAATATTGAAAGATTTACTTTCATTTCGTCCCTTATATTTTCTGTTATTTTACTCATTTTATAAATATCTGCTTCTTTTTATCAAGTGTATACTAACCAATATTAATATAATTAATTAAAGCAGTAAAGTAGTTTTATTTACTATTTTATTTACAAGTTACATGGAACAGGTAGTTTTACACATTTGTCACGTTTAATTGCAAGTTCAATTCCAGACAAAACACCCTTCTCATATCTTTTTAAATATTCCTTCAATTTATAATCACAATTACCACGGATTTTCTTACGTTTCACTGTTTTTCTTAATGAGTCCGTGTAACATGTATGATTATATCATCTCTTTTCATCAATGCATCGATGAAATCATAAATCTGTGGGTGCACACCAAAATGTTTTTTTATCTATTATGAAAACCTTCATCATGATTATTTCTCCTAGGCTAATAATTAAATCATGAATGCTTCACATAAATGGTGTAAATGTGGTCTCAGTATCCATATACGTGTCTATTAAATACTCATCAAATGTGCTGAATCATCTAGTGAATATTCTGACATAATATCAGTCCATCCCACGTAGAAATTGCAAAGTTTTTTTGCGTGGTCACGCAAAAACATAAGTAGCGTAACGCGAAAAATGGTTACAAATCCGAAATTCTGCAAAATTCTGTATATTCTTCTAGAACAAAATGTTTACAAAATTCTGTATTAGTCGAACTAACACAGAATTTTGTAAATATTTTGTTGCTTATCTTGGTGGACAAATTCTTAATTGTTAGAATTACGAATTTATCCAGCACGTTTTGTTCCTATATAAAACTTTATTCTTATTACCACAGAAAAGTAGAGTGTGTCCCTTTTCGTCCTTGCTTTTTCTTACGGACATCTGACAGAGCAGTCCGTTCCGAACTTTTTTTTGAAAAAGTCCGGATGTTCAGGATAAAAAGTCCGGAAGTTAGAATTGGAAAAAGATCGGATGTTCGAAACGATAACTAAAAAAGATCCGGATGTTGCGAATGAAAGTCGTCCGGATGTTCGAAACGGCATGAGCCAAGGCTTTTTTATACAAAAATTTCTGGATGTTCGTAATAGAAAAGTCCGAATGTTCGGAATGAAAAACTCAGGATGTTCATGACAGCAGGTGGCGGATGTTCGGGACAGAAAAGAAAGAAGATTACAGCATATCTTCGAGACAAACACTTTTTGTTATGAACATCCGAACTTTTTCTGTTCCGAACATCCCCTTTTTTCTGTTGCGAACTTCCGGACATATCTATTACGATCTTCGGACACATCGGTCTTCTGTAGCTTATGTTTTCATTCCAAACATCCAGAAAAAAAGCGATTTTATGCTATATAGACCCGATTTCGAACATCGCGTCACTTGTCTGGAAGACCAAGGACGCAAAAGGAAAGCCCAGAAGACTATGTTGAATAAGTGCATAAAGTAATATTCAATGGTGCCATAAGAGCATATGATAATTTCATTTATAGGCTATAAAACAATGTAACGATTAGACGGTCATTCATGCGTACAGAATTAAAGTTATTTTTGATGCAGGTTTATAAAAGGAACTCAACAATTAATTATATTAATATTGATCAGTATACACTTAATAGAAAGAAACAGGTAGTTATAACATAAATAAAATAATAGAAGATATAAGGGACGAAACGAGAGAATACCGAAATAAATATTATTTAATTCGTTTTTCATAAATGAAATAAATTATTCCGTTGACAGATTAATGCTACATACATATGTTCTTCCTTTTTTACGGTAATAAAATATCTTTTATAACTAGTTGTAGACTAAGGATCATTTTATGTACTTCGACGCGTTTATAGGAAATTCCCTAATTTTGTCGTTCTTATACTGTACTGGAAACAAAAAGATGAAAGAAATTTCTCTCGGTGTGTACCGAGTGGTATACCATCGTATTACGGTATACTGAATAATACCTGATTATCATCAGTATATCAAGCAGTTTTGGGAGGTATTATAGTAACTGGCAGTATCTAATAAGGAAGTTCGACTTTAGTAAATTAAATTTATTTTATTGATCATAGATCTCTGACAAGTTTTTAAGTAAAAGACGTTTTATTTCTCATTTTTTTAAGAGGTAAGAACACTAAAGTTTCTTTTTCATTCGATACTAAAAACACAATGATCATGCTCTGAGAAACATTAATGAATGTAATCTCATTATACTTTATGATGTGGTAGATATGTAGCATGGAGGTGTGAACCGTTTCTTATTATGTGTTTTGGTTTCATTACAGAGAATGGTACAACTATATATAAACATACATTATAATTGTTTGTCACGGGTGAACAATTTTTTGTGATTGAACGTTTTAAACAAAACTTCATACTACTTTCACTCGTAACTTTATCAGTTGACAAATCAGTAAATTAATCGAGGATCAAATAACAATTGAATAAAGAATAGAACAATATAATAGATACAATCAAAGATCAAATAACAATAGAATAAACGAACTCAAAAGAATGAATATTGTTGTTATAAGCTTTATTGAAATGAATAGTGTTGCTTTCAATATAGAGAAAGACGGTAGAGACCGAACCATAATCTTACAACATCTTACGGACAATTCTTCTACATGTCATTGGGCTGTCCAGACTTATCCTGTTCCTGTTCTTATTTGCTGCAGACAGACTTGTTTAACTATAGAGTATTCCTTCGCACGTATCTGAGACTAGTCAAACGTTGTTGAAAGATGAAAAAGAATGAATTGCAGACGAAAACCTAGAGATTCCAGTTTGTCTGGTTGGATGCGACAAATAAGTTCGTTTTATAAGAAAACATCTGCTGAACTACCAAATATCTTTCGTAACCCTCAGAACAAACGAAAATTTTTAGAATACAGTATATTCTTTTGACTATTAATATTTTATTTTATCTTGAACTACCATCGGGTATAAAGAAATACAAGAAAAGATAGAAAATAGTTACAATATCTTTTTCTTTTATTCGTTCTGTACAACGCATTGTGTTTAGGTACATTTAAATTATATTAGCTATCTCTTTTCTGCCTATTAAAAAATGAAAAGATTGACGGATAGATAGATCCCTCTCACATCCGCTGCCAATAACTGCTATTAGACGAAAAAAAACAAGTCTTAACTAGAACCTCAAATATTTTTTCTTTTAGTTATTCTTCTTCACCATTATTTTTGAATAAATTTTCTTCTATTCTGTGTGTTATTTTTTCTGTTTTTTTCTCCAATTCACTATCCCTTTCCTTTTTTACCCAAACATTTAGTCATACCGCTTTTAGAACATACAACTATATTGGGTATCTGTCTTCGTTTATAAATACGACGAATACATTTTATTATTAACGAAATCTAATCGAAGGTAAAGTATTACGCTCTTCTTCATATATTGTATTAGGTCAGAATCAAAACAAAAAAGCCTTTTTGTTTGATTATAAACATTTTTGTAAACGGTTTTTGACTTTTGAGTTAGAGAAAGACAACATGTAAACACTTGAAAAACTTGAAAATTTTATAGTCTAAATTATTCCTATAATACGTTACTATCTTTATACATCTGAGATAGCCCATAGGGAAATTCTGTCGCAGTTTCACGACTTTGAGATCGTTCAGTTGCAACATCAAATACTTGATCACGTGCGAACTTCTATAAATTCACACGTGATGTATTCACAGACGAGAATTTCTTTTACTGATCTAACGGTCAACAAAAAAAGTGCTTCTTTGGTGATTCTTAGACGTTTTCTTTTGGCAGTTTTCCGTTGCAATACATTGCAAAAAAACTGGTCAATGAGTATTGATTCATTCAAAATAAAATTGAGCTTGTAATCGCCCAAATGCACTTAAACTATACTAGTGATTTAAATGTATTTATTTAAATAAATCACTAGTATACTTTAAGTGCATTTGGGCGGTTACATTACACCATTCTATGACTTCCACTAACAACCACGTGTGAAAAGTTTTCGTGATCAGTTCAGGCGTTGTCACAAGTGGAATATTTTTTTCGCGTGCGTCCACACACCATCTTATGATGTTCACGTGCGACCACAGTTTATTTCACGATATTCACGGATGTACACGCCGGCTTATATACTAAAATTTCCACATGAGAGCCGAATAGTAGACGATTTTTGCATAAGAATTAGTCATACAACGTCTGTTGTCTACAACGGTTTTCTTAAATCTTTTCCTCCTGTAAATAAGTAATTTACAGTCAATGATTTTACGGTTTGTATGATGTTAAAAAATGTTCCGTAGTAAATCTGTATAATATTTCTCATAACTTGCAGCAATTCAAGCGACAGTCATTCGCAATGTGTCTGAAAAATCAGCTAAAGTAATTTGTACATTGTTCTTAACAGCTGTTTACTTAATTTTAGTTCATATTTTCTCCGCTTGGTTTAATATTTTATTATCATTATAATGGGAGAAATAATTGGAAATATTTTATTGTCAATTCTTGCTATTCTATTGCCTCCTGTCGCAGCTCTCCTCAAAGTGGGCTGTACAACTCATTTTTGGATAAATTTGTTATTAACATTTTTGGCATATGTAAGTTTTCTGAATAATCAAATTAGAGGGCACTTGTTGCTATAATCAATGTTATGTCATCCTTTCCTTTTAATTATCTACACGATTCTCTTTTAGATTCCTGGAATTATACATGCCTTGTGGTTGGTAAGTAGCGGAAAGAATAAGATGAGATCATTTTTCAACAAAAATTTATCTTTTTTGTTTGTTTGTTCCAGGTATGGCGTGGACCTGTCACGGTTTAATAGATATGGTGGTGATCAAATAACAAAGAATGAATGAATTGACTCGTCTCATTTTTCGTCTTAGGCTTTTTTTTGGAGTTAGTAGTTCTCTGTGCATTTATTATTATTTCACACATTTTTTCATAACAGAAACGGTTCGTAGTTATTACATCGTTAATGCTAATGGATTTGTTTTCTTGTTACTGTCTTTTTTTCTTGTATTATCATGTTAAATGTTCTTGACTGCTTTTTGTTTATGTACTTTTTTTTGTGAAAAGATATAATAATCATGCTAGTATTTGTGAATGTTGTTAATACGATTAATAGAGAATCAAGTTGTAGAAAAAACTGATTAATGGTCTATCAACAAAATTGAATAATGATCTACTAAAGTATGGCGTCCAATAGTATCGCGAAAAGATATATCGCTTTGGTTACTTGTCTACAGTTGTTAATATACAATGGTACGAGTTTTACTGTTTGTAGCAGGAATTGGTCACATTCAGAAGAACTTGAATTGATAGAAAATTTATTTTATTGAAAAAAATAGATAAAATTTAAAATCGATTACATCCCATGGAAGATTTCTAGGAAATTTATGGATGAGATAATTATCATCCATCGATATATACTTGTGAAAAATTAAATAGAATTTAATTAATACTAGTGAATATTTAGAAAAGATTTATATTAGTAGATAGTTGGAAATTCTGCTCGTCTACCTGTATAACATCGGTTTTCTCTGGTTAAAAGTGATATGTGAGTGTGTTCAAAGTACATACAAAACAGAGTATCATGATCTCTTTGGTTTCAGCAATCTACTTTTGTCTTGCTAATTTATTATTCTAGAGTTGATCACCCAACTGTTACTTTAAAACTTTTAGCCATCGCCATTGATTCGTTCTGTCACGTATGTTACGCACTTTGTTTTCACGTGAGAAACAGGAATAAAAGGAGTGAAAAAAGTATCGTTCTATATACTTGATGTATCTTGGGTCTTTCAACGCACTATATAAAAGAAACAATATTTTGATCCAAACTCGAGTAGTCCACGTGTAACTTAAGTTTTATTATTAAATTGGAACAATAATTCAATTATAATGGAATTTCTCTTAAATATGTTAATTTATGTAGTACACTGTTCTATTCAGTACACTTGACATTTTATGTTTTATTTTGTTTAGATTTTTGCGTTCTTTCTTCCGTTTGTTACTGGACTAATTATAGTATGTAGCATTTTCAATCTCCACGAGCATATTAGATTCTTTGTTTCTATTTTGGTTTTAATAGGTCTCTTGTACAATTGATTTGTAGGCGCTTGAATGCATGGTTTTGACAGATTGCTGTCCTTGATACGAAAATGTCATTGTTACAAAATATTTCGTCACTCACTTTCTAACGTGTTTAGCATTTGATCAGATTTGTATCCGCCACCGCTCCTTCACCTTAATTCTGTTAGCATGATGTTGATACAATTAACACTATCGCGCATTTAAATTACAATACACCAATAATCCAAACAATAACAACACACATCTTACGATAGTAACACCTTATATCATGTCGAAAAGTTTCTCTGTCCTATTGTACATTTCTTTGGTCACATGAGCTCACAGCATTTCGTAATACCAAAGGCAATTACAAATTCAAATTTTCCATGTTAGTAACAAATGAAGAGGCACGGATGCCCACATCGGTCATGTCAGTGTTCCGTGTACCATGCTATGGTCTATCGATCTATCTGACAGTTTCATACTCTTATTATCAACAAACAGGTTTTTTGTATTTGTTGGCACTGAGTGTCCTTGACGCCAATAAACTATAGTGAAAACAAGCGGTGCTCTCATTTCTCAGGCTAAAAATGAGGAGAGGTAACTAGCATGAATAAATACTGCTTTTTTTATTTTACATTACTATCTTCGAAAAATAACAGATCCTTGAGGAATCAATTTTGTTACATATGTCATCTGTTGAATTTTGCAGGTAATCGTAATCGACGTACAGTCATCTACTAGAAAAAATGAATAAATTCTACACTATAAAATGAGTAAGATGAATTATATAAGAATGAAAATACCACGATCTCTTTTTATTTTTTCGATGTTGAAAGAATTTTACTATACACATTGTTAAGTAGAATTTCCTGATTCTCATACTATAGTCGAAAGAACAGAAAGAAAGAAAAAATTCAACTTTTTATTAAACATTCCATTCCTTCATCTTTACCTGAAGAGACTGAAAAATAGTTCTAAGATCTAACAGCATGTAGGAGAGGACTATACTGTGTAGTGTGAAGAAAAATATTTGTAATCATTTTTCCTTTTTCTTCTGACACATACCTGAACTTTTTCTATACGCTCTTTTTTTTGTCCTTTAATTTTGAGTCAAAATCGTATTAAGTATCTTTTTCTCCCACAACGTATAATGTAACTGTGTTTTTCTATTCTCTTATATTAGCACAATAATAAGAAGGTAAATTATATTAAACGTTTTTAACAAACGTGATGTATCCAAATGAAATTAAATATCATACATGCGAAAAATAATCAGTTGTAGAAAAAAAGGAATTATTTAGTATTGATTAACCAGTATTTTCTATTTTCGTAATAAATAAAAAATGGATATAAAGTTTACTCTATTTTATTTAGGCAAAATCTAACATGAATAATCCCCCTGATCTTGTATCTTCGTCGTGCGATTTTTATTTATGTGATGTTCAAAAAATCTATGAAGAAAAAATTTATACATTAGAACGACAATATAAACTTGAATTGGATACAATGCGTGCTGATAAAGAACTGCTCCTATGTCAAATTGTGGAATTAAAAAATAAACTATGTGAACTTGAAACGAACTGTCAATGTTCTAAAAAAAATGTTAACGCAAACGAATTAACCTTTGATTCACAATCAATTATCAAAAATCAGATTATGTCATTGGATGAAAACATGCTTGAGTTAACTTCAAAAACGAGTCAAAACACCATTACGAATTATATGCACTCAAACTATCAAGAACAACTGCGTTTAGTTCAAAATCAACATCAAAATGAAGTGAAAACTTTTCTTGATAAATTAGATTTAACAGTTCAACAAGCCACAAGTGAATTATATACAATAATAAGAAATTTACAAAAAGAAAATGACAAATCGATTGTCGATTATTGTGCATCCAATTCAGTAGGAGAAATGATCAAACAAATACTCAACACGTATTTAACTAACAGCTGGCATTCAATCCAAGCTCTAAGGTATTAGATAATTCGTAGCTCTTAATTTACATCTTGTATTTACTTGTTCTCCTGTAGAAAACTGCATCAAACAGAAATTTGTGAAGCCCTTCATCTATACGAAACACACATAAGATCTATTCTAAATCACACTCCATTAGTAGCAATGGAAAATGACAAACAAATTCGTGCGTCCGATTTGCAATTAAAAGAAGATCTTGAAAAGCCAAAGATATGTTTAGAGCGTCACATCGATCATTTAAACAAAACTCAAACGATCGAAAAGGAAAAATTGCTCAATGAAATTTATGATATGATTGTTAAACACAAAACCGATATCGAGTGGTTGGTACCAAACACAGTGAATTCAACTTCAAGTGATCAACGAATCGACGATCATTTCACTGACGACAAAGTTAATTTAAATCAAAAGAAAATATCCTATTTTGAAGAGCAATTAGAGCATTTGGATGTAAAATTGGTATCAATCATTCATACATTGTATGTAAAATACAAAGAAAATTTACAAGACTTGAACGATAGTTTTTGTCTAAAAATGAAATATTTAGAAGATGAACATGAAACATGTCTGCAAAAACAAGAAGAAAAATACAGGACAGAGCTGGAAAACTTAAAAACGAAGTTTAAATGTGAAATGAAGAAAAGTAATCATTTGAATTTAAGCACTGAAGCTTTTTATGGTGCTTGTTGTCGTTAAAAGAGAATTTCATTCGAATAAAGCTCTAATAAGAAATTTATTCGAATATTGTTAAAATCTCTCTAATATTTCATTAACATTTGTCTAAGTACTTGTATAAATCCTACTAAGATCTACCAAGATATACGATATACTTTCCTTAATCCAAGATTTTTTAAGATTGGATAAGGGTCTGCGAAGATGTTATTAATTACTATTATTTTGTCTAGCAAGATTCATTCATGATTGACGAAGACTTTTTGGAGATCTTGTCCAGCCGTTGATGTCTTTCTTTACATGACTGAATTCTACTTTGCCTGTGCTGTCCTACACGGTTAAAAGCTGCGCTTGAACATACCTGAAGAACCAAGAGAAATTTCATACTTTTTGATCTTAATATATATTGTACATTCTCTTTAACAACACTTTCGAGTACAAATAAAGTCTGGAACACAAATAATACTGTGAAATTCAGTCATGCTTTCTGTTATTTGTGCAGGTACGTGAGAAACAAAAGAAAAGAGTTTATGGCATCATGATACACAGTGCAGGGCTGATTCCTGCTGTCATATTATGAATAATAATAATCTGACTTATATCTGTGGGGAAGCGGGTCACCAACTTGATATCGAGTTCGTTCTTCCATCATTCGAACAAGCAACGAAGCCACTTTCATTTGATTTTTGTCATATTCATTGTAGTGGCAGTAAAATGTATTGTTTTAGCCCAAAGCAAATGGAATCCTGAATCTAAGTTCTGTTACGTGTCAAGAATAAAAACTAAAGTTGTGGGCGGAAAAATATGCAGTCTTCAACGTTCTGTTCAGCTGGTAAGAAGAGAGCGTTCCAACGTTTATAGTAATTCCGTAACAACTTATGAGTGGGAAAAAGTATGTTTGTAGACATTATCTTTACGAATAGGCAAAAAGTTTAATAAACATAATAAAATAACAGCATTTTTTATCTTATAAGATAAAAAATGAGAAAATCGAATGTTCGTTGTTATAAAAAATGAAAATAAAGAATTTTTCTCTGCATGTATCATAACTAGCAAATGTAACCAGTTTCTGTATTTATTCTTGAAAATGAACTTTTAAAGTTTGAAACGTTGAAATATTTGGTTTTAATTTAATTATAAAGTTTATTCAACAAAATGAAAATTACTGCTTGTTACTTTATTATGCTTATTAAAAAGTATGTTCATAATAACTTTCCGAGCAGGCTTTAGTATACTTACAGTGGCACTGCCAAATGTGTATATAGTAAAACATTCTCGACTTTCAGTCGTGTATAAAGTGAACGAACGTGAGTGCCATCATCCTAATCCTAATCAGAGTTTAGTGACGATCATTCAAAAGATTCCGTTTTTATGTTTGCAATGAGAAGACTTAATTAGACTGTTATCATTTTGTTTGCTATGCTCGACCTATCTCTTGCCATGAAAGTATTGTGACAAGAGAGTACGCCGCCGCCGCTGAAGGCGGAGAAAAATTTTTAAATTCACGTCTCAGTTGCTGAGATTTTTTGTAATTGATTCATTTGAACTAAAAGAAAATTCTTCACCTGTTTTATCAGTCGATCCACCGAAAAAAGTCACAATCATTCAATCTTGTTCAATTTCAACAAGAAGCTAACAAATAGATTCAGTCAGCTAAAATCTTACCACATCACAATATCCAACAAATGCAAGAAGCTGTTAAGCAAAACTATTACAATAATAGATCTGACGTGAAATATACAGTTGAACAAAAAGTATTAGTTATTAATCGTGCACCAGTTAGTAAACTGTCATCAAAGTGGCTTGGAGAATACACCGTAATCAAGAAAATCGGAATCCGAACCTATCAAGTCCAATCAGATGTATCTTCAAAAATATACACGATCGGTGTTCAAGGTATGAAACAGGTAGATTAAGAAAACATAACAGCGAGAAAAAAATTCACAAAAAATCGACAGAACATGTAGTCAACTATCCATTAATTTTCAGAACGGTGGCCTGCCTGATCAACCACCATTTTGAATAATCACTTGAGTGACTAGAGACTTAATAAAAGTCGATTTATGAATAACAATTCGAGTTGTGAAGATGAGATGTGAATACTTAGCGTCATAATAATATTTTATTGATCTCGGTTATCAATCATAACATGATTTTCTATTAAACTTGTTATTAAAATTAACAACTGGGTTCAATCCAGAATTTAACACGGTAATAGCCCTGCGTATGGTATTAAACGGCGAGGTTTGCTCAGCTGATATAGAAATACCAAATCTGTCACAATCAGACATGTACGCCGATGTCTGTTTTTCGACAGCGGCGATCACCCTGTTGTTTCTGATAAGTCAGACTGATGTTCATCCAATGTGCAATGTATATGCTCTGCCAAAAGTTACGTAACATGGCGGGTTTTCGTGTTTTTCATTATTTTGTCATTAATTTTAATAAGCCATTCGTGCACGACGTATCAGAATTACATAAAACGGATGCAAATGAATTTATAATGTATTGTTGCGACTTTTGTAAATCTTATCTGACAATGATGTATTTGACAGGTGGGTCATTAAATATTGCTATGTACATCAATGACAAACGATATTTATCGAGATACGTCATTTGCGACTGAAGATAATACAATATTTTATTCCCAAGAAGCAAAACAGAATACATCGATCAGTTTTCTAGAAAGTAATCTTTTTTTGGTAGGAATTATCTCCGTATTTTTGAAAACGCTATAGGATTCAGGTACATTGAGAGTACAAATATTCGACAACTACAAGTTGCTACTATCCATTTAAAAATATAAAAAGAATGATTGTTTTTAAAATAACTCGGGAACAAAAAGGGATAGAGAGATGTGGTATCTTAGCATTTTATAAACAAGACTTTAATGCACCTTATGAGAACATGGAGAACAGAAAAACTCGGATTTTTATGCGTAGTCTCACATCTGTCTTTGAAAAATATAACTGCCAGTTATATATTGTTCGGTAGCGATCTATATATTAAAAAGTTATCAGAGATAGTCTACGATCTTCCCTACAAATCTCCGCAAGAATGCCTTCTCTATCTATCATGGTTTTGGGAATGAGACGAATTTTCATACGAATCCTACGATTATTCTTTGCATTTGGTAACTACGAAGACACGTGCAAACATTATTATTGGGGCATACCTTCACCTAAAATATTTCCAGCATCTACAAGTTTCTTTTGTAGTTCAGCTTGCTTGCTATCAGTTTATCGAAATAGAGTGATGAGCGGGAGACAATGCACACATGCAAAAACAAAACAGAAACGCATAGATGTACGTGTGTATGTGTGAGTATCTGAGTCTGGACTACGGTAATAGCCAACTTTTTTCTCCGTTATACGCCTTTCATATCAACGCAAAGATCACAGTTAGTAAGAGGGAAAGATTGATAATTTTTCACACATACAACTTTGAACCAGATATGAGACATGAAGACCGAACTATTCTATTGTCCCGAAAGATTTTGCACAATCTCAACACATTTTTATACTGTCTCGAAATCCCAAAAAAAATCCTTGACTTCGAATTTTACTCCCGTGAAAATAGGACTTCTTTTATCTTTTTTTATACTTGAGTTATTCAGAAAACAGCCATTCTTTCTATATTTTTTAATAATAAAAAAAAAAATTAAAAGTCATTCTCTATTCATTGCCGTTCTTAATTGACTGATACAATTGTTTGTTTGAATAACATCCTTTTGGTCTGATGGATAAATCTGCTCGAAAATTGTCAATGCTCGTTCATAATATTCTAATGCCGATTCATTATTCCTTTGATGTAAATATGTTTCGGCTATATTAACGAAACTGTTTGCTAAATCTGGATGATTTCTACACAACCATCTCTGACGTATTCTCAACCCGTCTTCAAAATAGTCCAGTGCTGCATCAACATTATCGGCAGCTTTCAAATGAGCGCAACCAAGATTCGTGAAAGTTGTGGCCCTTTCGACGTCATGTTGAGGAAGTCTCGTAGCCCTTAAATAATATTTAATTGCTCTTTTGTAGTCCTTTTGTTTTTGATATACACTTGCGATGTTATGATAGCATGTCGCTAGGCCTTGTTTGTTTTGCGTGCTTTGATAGTAATCAAGAGCATTCTGATAGTGTTCAAGCGCTTTATCAAGCTGTCGTTTTTCTTGATAGCAGATACCAATATTGTTTTGATATGTTCCCAGGCGATCATTCTCAGATGCATAGATATCGGACATTAAACTCTTAAAATAAGTCAATGCATTATCTATTTGATTCATCTCAATTAGTACTTTACCGAATGTCACTTGTGGATTTTTTTCATCCACATTTCTCATATACGTATTTTCAATATACTTATTAACCGTTTGTTCTCCGTCAGAACTTAACGATAACTCAATACGCCAACGTTTTTCTTTTCTAACGTATTCTATTTTATTTAATCGAAATACAGTACCAATTGTAAATAAAATTTCGTTTTCCGGCAAGCCGCTTAAATGGCTAATATCTGCATACGGCTTTGTTTGAAGTGTTAGATCAATGGTTATGATAAATATCACTGGTTCATGACGGAAACTATCGTTTCTTGATCTAGAAAAAGAAATTGCCTGTCTTTCGTTTTTTGATGTTGATATGAAACCATTTAATGATATGAGAGACCCCACAAGTGTCTGAAGCTGTTCGATGCTTTCTTTTGTTAAGTGTTGTCCACGATAAACGGTCAAACTTTTGATTTTCTCTTTTCTCATTTTTCGAGTGAATGATTTGTGTTCATCTATTAATTGTTGAATTAAAATTCGTATAAAATAACGATAAGTATACAAGTTAGATATGTTTTCTGTTCTTAATGTAGCGTTTACACATTTGAAAACAAAACAGTGTCTTGTATACCATCCAATCGCATTAAACGGTTGTGTCTTGTCATTTTTAAAATCTTCGATTAATTCTAGTTGTTCCTCATCATCTATACATTGTTTTCTACATGCGTCAATAAAATCTTGTTTAGCTAGCCGCTCGTTG